ATATATTGGTTTCTAGGTATATCCAATATGATAAAATCATATATAAATATATATTCATATTTATGAACTGCGCAGGAGTATATTTCAAGTGAAGAATGATAATGTGTGTATTATTCGTTTATTTCTTCGTGTTTCCTTCAATTCTCTTTGTATGTTTTATCCAAACTCTGGAAGCCGCAAGAAAAATAAATATATTTATTGTATAAAAAGATCAGTTTAAATATTGAATGATTATTGTTTTAACTAAATTATGAAATAAATTTCAGATGGTAACAATATTCAATTCAATTAAAATCAAAGATACGTTTTATTGACCATTTATGAAATTTATATGAAAACGCAACAAAAAGAATAGCATGAAGCACATACTAAATTCCATTGTTTCAATTACAAGATCATGTTGCAATCATGAATATATCACCGTAAATGGAAGAAAGAGAATATAGTAGGAAGATATTTTGTTAGTGGAAAGATAGCAAAACAATAATACTTTGGCCTATGATAAACCGATTCACGAACTAAAATATATAGGACCTAGGCATATTAAATTTTTCGTTTTCGCAACTCCTTAGGCGCGCCATATATTTGTTCGAAATAAACCGCGACCGAAACGAAGCGGCCTATGCTCAGGACCCGAGCCTAGAAGAAAGATAAGTGAGTCCTGAATCCGATTTATTATGGCTACACAAGTAGATGAGGCAAAGGATTTGCAGGTAGCAGGTAAATACACCGAAGGCGATTTGTTGGATGTCTTTTCAATGTAGGCCTAGGCCTAGCATATGCGTAGGCCCTAGGCTTAGGCCTAGGCTAACCCAAGACCTGCCTGCTTGCCATGCATAAATTATGCCCACCCCTGAGGCTCGTGTGAACAGGACAGCTAGGGTGTAGGGCCTAGAGTTCCTATATAGAGAGAGTTGCGAGAAGAGCCGCTTAATAATAAATATGGGATTCCATTTGGGTCCCTTTGCATGAATGAACACAACGCTTATTCTACAGACAGAGTGGTGATTGCATAATTAACAGGCAATTGAAAAAAATAAATATAAATATTAAGAAAATTTTTTGTCATTTGATAGTAAATAGGGACCTAGGCCTAGGCCTATCTATCTGTCAATTAATGCGTGTTTGAAGTTTATAACAAGACAATAAATAATTATTATATTACAACATTTGCTTGACTAAAATTGCGTAGCGCCTTAGCTAAGGGTACAACATCGCCTTTGTTTGGCTCCAAAAATATTCTGTAAGCGACTATAGCCTAACTAGGCCTCTTACTTACGCACAGGACAACATAGAAGTTCGTATAAATAATAATTTGTCACAACACTTTCTGTATAAGAATTCTAGTAGGGCCTAGAGCCTAGGCTCGGTGAAGACGTTTTTGGTAATGTACTGTTGGTCTACTACTAGGGCTTAGACCTAATAATTTGTCAGGTAGGACACGTCTGAGGCACACAATTTAGCCACTAGCATATTTGTTTATATATTTACTCATGCACATTTTTCTATCCTCCTATTTATTTAGTATTTGTATTTGACTTGCATCACCACCACTAATTCCTCCATCGCATGGTATTATCACACCATGCATTTTCGATATGTGGGTGTTCCAAGTTGGAATGCATAATTTAAATTATACATGCACAAGAGCTACCCAAAAGGCATGCCATTACAATACATACGACAGACCAGGGCACACAGTTTACTTACCTTGTCGTCTTGACACTGCAAAATTTAAGGGGTTCTTTCTAGATTGTCACAATTTAGGAGGTAGAAGAGAGATTTGCAATTTACTGGTTTCAAGCACAAAGTATTAATGAATCATGTATATTCTTTAGATATTAGCGATAATGAGATGATGAAATTTAGGCTGGTACAGTGCGGATTGGCTAATAACATCCAAGCTGTTCAAGCTAAGAAAGATGACTTCCTGCCCACACTAACAACAGTGAGTATCATTACGAATTTTACCATTATTTTTGTACAGTACTGTTCTTTACATTCCCTGTCATCTTTTTCCAGTTTTCCACATTACCCTCATTCACATTCTTTCTTCCTCTTTCCGCTAGCAGAATTAAGCAGTAAATGCAGGGGCGGATCCAGGATTTGAAGGAGGGGGGTTCAAAATGTTTCCAGAAACCTTGCAAAAGAAAGGTTAGTCCGTGGGCCCTCCTCCGGGATTATAGATGGTCGGAAATGAGCTTTCCCGACTTCTGAGGGGTTTTTTATGACTTTTAAATTCTTCAAAATTCTAGGTTTCCCCCTCTTAAAAATGGTCAGGTAATTTTATCTCATTCATATTACAGTAAGTAGTCCTATTTCAGAAAAAAAAAAAAAAAAAAAAAGTAGTTGAGTAGTTGGATATAGGCCTACTTATTCTTTTTTCCATGGATCGATAAACCGATAGACATGAATATTACACACTTTTGTACAAAAATTATGTTTATGACATCAAACCAAAAACAGGTTAATTGAAGGAAGCCTTGTTTTTCTGATCAAGCTATGCCTAGGTAAGTTAGCATGGCTTTTGTAAGCCAAAGAAACAGTAGTATTTTTTATGTTTCTTCACAGAGGGGGATTCGTCCGAACCCCCTGAACCCCATCCCCCAGATCAGCCAGTGCAATGTGTATTTTTTTAAATACAGAATTACACAGCCTTAAAAAATAAGCTTCTAATTTCACTCTAGATCCCAGTAGTATAATGTTGATAGTATATTGTTTACCCTTTTTATAGTATGGCCTATGTAAAGTGTTCGTATATATGTACTCATTTTAATGTCAGTAGTAGTATAAGAACTCAATCTATAATAAGAATGTTTTGTTATACAATGCATTGTCTTATTATTATTAAGAATGTTTTGTTTTACAATGCATTATCTTGTTATTATTATTAAGAATGTTTTGTTATACAATGCATTATCCTCTTCCAGTTGCCTGTAGGACCTCCTCCTATTCTTAAATGCTTAGAGTCTCAATTAGCTGAGTATCTTCAAACTCCTGAACGACTACCGATCCATGCAGTGGAACGGGCTCAGAAGTAAGATGAATTTGCTTGTTTCAGGTTACACAAGTTTTTTACATTTAAAGTATTTATAATTCTTTTTAAAGCTATAAAAATGAAAATAAAATGTAAATTTATTTGTTTAATAAAACAGATTAATTATCATTTATTATTATTCTTCAGGTTTTGGGGAAGAGAAAAGAATGTTGAAAGTTTATTTAACATTGGAGCATGCCCTCTACAGTCCACATTACAAGTTCAAAGAAACCAGACAACAGGAGAACTACTAGGCTTCAAAGAGGTAAGCAGACTATACAGAAAAAATACAGTTTCTTAGAAGTCATATACACTGTTTCATGGGATCTATTTTGAAACAGTGCCGACAACGTCTCAAAACTCACTGAGGGACTTCCAGCGGCCTAGTCTGAGCAGCTGGCTAGCTACAAATAGAGCGCTGCGCAGCGGATAGCGCTGCTAGACCTTTGCTATAGCAGCAGTAAACAACAGATAAGATCTTGCTAATTACTGTAATTACTGTATATGTACTTGTTTTTAATGTAACCATTTCATGTTTTTTCCTTTTTTTAAATATTTGTACTCGTAGGTAATTTAGTTTATCATTGATTTAATCCATGATGGTAAGTATGTAGAGCCAAATGCTAGGCCTCTGCAAGTCCCCCAGTGCTAGTTGCTAGGTTATTGGAAATTTTCATTTCAAATTTTGCAAAAATGGTGTATACTGAAAAATGTAATTGCAAATTTGAATTGAAATATTGCTTGGCAAAGTAATAATATATATTAATACTTGCAGTACACCACATAGATAGTTCTGAATAGAACTGTTGTTGTTGGTTGGGAATTCAGGAGAATAATATCTGGTATAATTCTTTAGCAGATACTATTCTTCTAAAGACGATGAGAGCAACTCAATCGAAACATTGAGATATTCTCAACCAACAACAACAGTTCTTTTCAGAACTATCTAAGTGGTGTACTGCAAGCATTAATATATTAATTTGAGTTGCCTAACTAAGAAAATTAAGAATGAACTAAACATTTACATGAGAAAAATATTTCCCCATTAATTAAAGATGTATTGTCCCATGATAAATACCCCAAAAAATATTTTTTGAAATTAACTTGCCCATTTTGAAGTAACTTAAAAGTTATCAACTTCAACATAGTGTATTTAAAAAAGTGTCTACCCGTCAGTTTACAGCAAAAAATGATAGAAACACTTCCGGTCACTGGAAGTTTTTTATTATTTTTATTATAATTATCCAATTTAAAAATCATCGTATACATTTTTTAAATGTAATAATTTCTATACACAAGTTAATAATTTGTATGTTATTGCAAAATTAGCAAGTTGATTTCAACATGATTTTTTAAAATGATTTTTGACAATTAGCAATTTTTAATAGACAGTTATATAAACTGTTGACTGTATTCTTTTGTCTAGACTCTTATGAATTTGAAATGTCTATAAATCAACAAAAAGTTCTTGATCTGTTTCTTATTTGATCTTTTTAAATAAGGTATTCAATGTACGGTATGTAATTAAATTTTTTTGGCAGTCTATCTTTGACAATTTATTATTCAAATGCTTTCTTTTTCTTTTGAAGGTGCCACTAGAAAACACAGGATTCACTGCTCAAAACTCACTATCCATGCTCAGGCAGCCTGGTCCACTGGCGGATGCTGTACGCGGTCACTCAACAAACAAGCCATTCTGGCCTGGAGGTCTTGATGAGCCGTCTATCGAGGCCATCACAGAATCTATCCAAGTCAGTTTTGATGATGGTTAGTGTCTGTTATTCAGTATTCTTACTACCACCTTAGCAGTAACTGAACAAGACAACTATAGAAAAACCAAAGTTGCATAGAGCTTGGCTTTATAGCTACACCAATATTAAAATTCTCTTTACATTAATTTATATGTGTAGTTTTGTACTCTTGTAAAAATGCAATAAAAAAAACACAAAGTATTGGAGTCTAACTTACATAAGAGAACAAAATTTAAATATTAAAAAAATTAAAAAAAATTATTAAATTTTTTTGCAGATCTATTGACAATTCCTCCTGGTTTCGAGAAGGGTATGAACTTCACAGATGGAGCTGACAATAAACCAGCTCCTGAAACCCTGAAACTTGCTGACCTTATGACCTTAGATGATGAGGAGTTTGACCTTGGAAATGAGGAAGAAAGTGACAATGAAACTGTAAATAATGAAGTAAGATTAATCATCTGTTGCAAAATTGCATTTGTCTTTCTACACTCAAGAATATTATTACTTCCGCTAAGGAGGTTATGTATTCACCTCTGTCTGTCTGTCAGTAGGCCAATTTGCCTGCCTGTCTGTTAGCAAGATTATGCACAAACTAAAGAATGGATCATCATTATATTTAATGGAATTGTACATAATATTTAAAGACAGAGATGATTTACTTTTTGGTAGAAAAGGTCAAAGGACAATGCCAAGATCACAGAAATTCAATTTTTCCCCTTGAACTAACTCTCATGATTATTACACAGCCTGCATATTTAAGTATTCAGGCAAAAGGTGGAGGTAAGCACACTATGTAGTGACTGCTCTAGTTTATGTATTTATTTATACTGCTAATGATGATATCACTGGTGTTTCTCAGGGTATTGCAGTCACAGGAGCTGATGCTGGAGATGCTGATTTGTTAGATGTCCTTCAACAGGTATGCAAATGAATATGCTAATTTGTTTACTCATTTCTACATTTTATCAGCAAATCACTTCCAATATGCTATTGGTCCTAAGATCAACAGTTTCCAGTTATGTTCACCTATGGTAGATTATTGCTGCAAAGTGCCAGGCCACTTTGCCTGCCAAGAAACAATAAAGTGATAGCACAATTTTGATTCATAGGCTGATGAAATATCCAGGCCTCAGGAGAATATAACAGTGGAACCTCCTAAAACAGAGTGGGCCATAAAGGTGGATGTGTCTGCTCCAGTTGATGATTTCTACAAGAAGATTCCAAACATGGCCTATCAGGTAAAATTATGAGTCTTTAGAGAAGACATCATTCATTGATTCTTTAGGATTCAGAAGTAATATGTCATGGCACAACTCTGAGATTACAGTTGTTTGGTAGTCATTTTACTGCAGCCAGCTGTAGAATCCATCTTCTAATTGAAAAATAAAGAATTTAGTGTTCCAACTTTGGCTAAGGAATGCCTTGTCTATGGCAAACTCTGTTGATTTGTTTTTTTAATGTTTTTAGTGGCCATTCGAGTTGGATGTGTTCCAGAAGCAAGCAGTCCTTCGTCTGGAAAACCATGAGAGCGTGTTTGTGGCAGCTCACACTTCAGCTGGCAAGACAGTCGTAGCAGAGTATGCCATTGCTCTGTCTTTGAAACACGGAACAAAGTAAGTCAAATTAGCACACCGATAAAATAATCATCTTAGCTTGACTTGTTGGTGAGACAGCCTCATGATAGCTAGCAGATATTCTCATTCAAGATTAATTAAAGTAATCATTATTCCTTAATTTTCTTAATATTTTTAACTATTTGATTTCATTTAACTTTTGGGCACTTGTCTTATGTGTTACTGTAGGTAATTTAGATTGACTTATTTGCTATGTTAGCTAAAATTTGTACAGGAAAAAATTCTGTTTGTTGTCTAACATCTTATTTTATGAGAGAAAATATCATGAATTATAAAATGCCTTTGACTTACTTTCTTGTTTATTACTATCAGAACTGTGTATACATCTCCTATCAAGGCATTATCCAATCAGAAGTATCGGGATTTTAAAAACACATTTGAAGATGTTGGACTGTTGACTGGTGATGTCCAGCTGAATGATAAAGCAGCCTGTCTCATAATGACCACAGAGATCCTCAGGTTGAATAATACTTTAATATTGAAAATTGAAAAAAAAAAAATTCATGCTGTTGATGCCACTGCTGCCACAGCCGTCATTGGTGTCATCATCATCATCATCATCATCATCATCATTATTATCCAGGGCTTGCCCTAACTTTTTTTGGTAACTAGCCCACTGGGCTAGTTTACTAGCGATTTTACTAGCCCACAGAATATTTTACTTGCCCACAGACAGGAAAAAATTTTGTTTCAAAATATTTGTTAGCGACAATTAAATTTGAAGGTTGATTTGCAATTTCATAATTTCTGTAGCATTGCTGTTTGAGCTACCCTCTCAAAATATTGTTGAATAAATAAATAAAAAAAATCACCATGCTGCAAAATCGACTCTGGTTATAACGGGGACAGATGAGCATGTTTTACATCTCCCTGGTTATAACTTTGGCTTTTTAATATTTAACAAAGGGCCCAGAAATCAATCAAACCAATGCATCTGTTAAATTTTTAGGTCTCAAGTCACTCAACCCCAATGGCAATAAATCTTGCTTAGGCTACCTAGGCTAGGCTAGGCTACCTAGGCCTAAGCAAGACCTAGGGCCTAGGCTAGCCTAGCCTACCTATAGCATTGTAGTACTTATTATTAAAAGTTGAACATTTAAAAAACATCATTATGAGAAAACAATATGAATATAAGGTAGTACATTAAATTAAATGTTCTAACTACCTAAATTAACCAGATTGAACGATCAAACGATCTTCTATTGAGAGAAAGATAACATGCCATCCTAGTTGGTGAATGACTTGGGGATCATCTTAATAATTAAACACTCACGCATGTGGAAAGCTGAAAGCTAGCTAGAGTGTACTCCCTGGGCTGCGGTACCTCCTGTGCAGGGATTGTCTCGAAAGTTCCGCCTTTTTTTTTTTTAAAAGAAAATGTTTTTCTTGCTAATTCTCCACTAGACAACCGGGCAACATGAGGAGTAAATAGGCTAGCCCGGAGCGGTTTTTACTAGACATTGTACGCCGGGCTAGTACTAAATCGAGCCCTGTTATCATTATTATCTTGTCATCTTCACAATGAGGCATGCCATGCCAAACCAGCATCAGTAAGTAAAAACAAGAAAATTAACTTTTTAATATATTTATACTCTCTACATTAAGATCTTTAACATGATAGGTCTTTTATTGGAATCTACTATTGCCAAAGTTATGAGTAAACATACTGTAATAAAGTATACAGTACCACCACATTCTAGTGACAGTACATTGGTTTTCGGAATGGCAAGCCTCAAATATTAAAAGATATAAAAAATAAGATGTTCCAGTATTCATTATGGAAACTTACTAATGCAGGTCTATGTTGTACAATGGATCAGACACCATAAGGGACTTGGAATGGGTCATATTTGATGAAGTTCATTACATCAGTGATGCAGAGGTGAGAAAAACAAATCAGCCATTTATAGTATTCAACAAACAGACAATTATTATTGATAAATTATATTTTACATCTCCATAATTTGACACAAATCAGGGAACAGTGTAATTTCACTGTTCCCTGCACAAATGTACACAGTTTTTTGATAACATTTTAAAAATAATTTTTTGAAGAGAGGAGTTGTATGGGAAGAGGTGCTGATTATGTTGCCCAGTACTGTTAATGTTATCCTACTCAGTGCTACAATACCAAACACAATGGAATTCGCTAATTGGATTGGGTAAGTAACAATTATAAGTAATTTAAAATACACATGTTTGCTAGTGACTATTTTCTATTTATTTGACATAGTCAAATGATTCCCTCAAACATGAAGTGACCCTTAGGGGAGAAGCAATTTACTGGATGAGCTAGTCCACCCCTGGAGTGGTTTTAAAATTTGTATAAAGCGCTATATAAACCCATTGAAACATGGCTTTTCATTTACTGAGCTCTTAATACAGTACTTAGTAATTAAAACTGAAGATCAATTCATTTTTTTATGGCTTTTTTTTCCCTAGGAGGACGAAACAGAAATACATATATGTGATTAGTACTTTGAAACGTCCCGTACCGCTGGAACATTTTTTATACACAGGCAACAGTAATAAAACTAGTGATCAACTTTTTTTGATTGTCGACAAAAATAACAAGATGGATACAATCGGGTAAGCACAATGCAAGCTAAAAACACAAGGAAAATACCCCTTAGATGTAAAAAAAGCTGATTATATTAAACAGGAATAGAGAAATGTTATTTATTGCACTGCTAAAAGAGATAAGAAATAATCTGAGCAAATTTTTTATTATGTAATACAGGTAATTAAAATTGTTATCATCATCATCATTTATTTTAGTCAGCATTTTCCTTCTTACAAGGATTACTGACTTTCACGCCATAGTGACATGTGGACTGTCGTAAGTAAGAACAGGTCCTCACATCCTTTGTCGAGAGCTTGCACCTTCCTTTTTGTCATGGGCAGGTGAGGTCCACGGCAACCTTCAGGCTGATTGCTGCCCTTGCTTTGTTTGTGTTATCATTTTGCTATTGGAGCGTTTTTTTTTACAGTGAGCCTGCCCTGGCATACCATTAAACCATCACCCTAGGGGAAAGGGTGGATGCCCATTGGTTCCTCCATAAACTCATCCGTGCTTTAACAGGTCTTATTTTTAATCCTGCCGGGGTCCACACACATTCCTCACCATAGTTGCCCCAGGTGGGTGAGCCGGTTTCGTCGCCAACCATCCAACCATAAACAGGTAGTACTGGTTTACATGGGTACCAGTAGCTGGTAAAGCCTTACCTGACATTATGTTGAAATTTTAAAATGTTTATCTGTAGTTACAAGAAAGCATTGAATGCTAAGAAGGATAGAGAGAGCAAGTCATCACAGAGCTTTGGAACTAAAGGTGCAAGGGGTGGATTCTCAAAGAATGTAAGTGATTTAACAATAAATACTATATGGTTGCATCATTACTTTCAACCCAATGACCACATCATCAGAGTGATCACAACAAATTGTATATTTTTATTTTGGCCTGATAATAATTATTACTATGTTTGGCTTTGTAAATTTAATAGGAAAGCCTCAGTGTGGGGACAATGTCCCCACACTGCGCATTGCAGCTTTGAGTCAAGTCTCAAACGAGAGATAACAGGTCGTTTTTTTTTGTATTCCGCCTTTTTCATTTACATAACGAAACAGATCACATCGTCATCATTATGATCATTATGATCATCTTCATCATTATCAACATTATTATCATCATCATTATTATCATCATCATCATCATCACCAATATCATCATCATCATAATCATCAGCATCATCATCAGCTATCATAGTTTATTTTCATCATGTGATGTAAATACATTCTTTTTTTTTGTTCCTGTTTCTGAAGGACAAGAATGTATATTTATCTCTTGTTGAAATGCTTCGGAAGAAATCCCAGCTACCAGTTGTTGTGTTTACGTTTTCCAAGAAGAAATGCGATGAGAATTCGTCAACTCTGACTGCTGTCGACCTAACAACGAGCAGTGAAAAAAGCCAAATCCAAATATTTTTACAAAAATGTATCAGTCGATTGAAAGGCTCTGATAGGAGACTTCCACAGGTTAGTTGTGCTGTTGAGCTACTGAGCATGCTCAGATGGATTTTTAATTATTGCTTATGGAACAAAAAGGGTAATGCAGCTTTTGGAGTTGTGAATAATATACAGTATAATTCAATTCGATTCAATTCAATTCTCAATGGATAGATGATGGAACCTGGAAAATGGCAAGGCAGAATTCCAAATTTATTTTCCTCGCTATTGTTGTTACCACATTCTCCCGTGTCGCCATCGTTTTTCTCATCATACTTGTCATCATCATCTTCAGAATCAACATAATTATTCTTGTCAATAACATACTCATACATACTAGTGAAAAATACTAGTCAATGACTGTTGTAATTTTCTTTGTGTGTTTGGCTAAAAAATGCAATTACTGCTTGTATTGATGAAATACCTGTTTTTCAGGTTCTGCACATGAGTGAGCTGCTAAAGAGAGGAATAGCAGTTCATCACAGTGGTGTCCTGCCAATATTAAAAGAAGTAGTTGAAATGCTGTTCCAAAGAGGTTTAGTTAAGGTAATTTCAATTCCAGTTTGGTATTATCAGAGGTCATAGTGTGAGAGTGTTAGATTGTACTTGTGACATTAATAATAATAATAATAAGGTAGGAACTTATATAGCGCCATTTAAAAAACCGAAGTAATTATCAGTGGCGCTTTATGTTATTGTTGG